GCGTGTGTGTGTGTGTGTGTGTGTGTGTGTGGGTGTGTGTGTGCGTGTGTGTGTGTGTGTGTGTGTGTGTGTGGGTGTGTGTGTGCGTGTGTGTGTGTGTGTGTGATGGTCCTCACCTTCTTCCTGGTCCTGTGCTGGGCTCCGTGCAGGTTGGACAGCGTGTCCGGGCCCAGGATGGTCCGGACTGAAGCGGGCCACTGCGCGGACACGAGCCGGTTCTCTCCCAGCAGGATGTGTCTGACGTTGTCCGCCCCGGTCACGCGCACCGTGGGGCTCCCGAACAGGTGAGTCCGGTAGATGAAGCCGTACCTGTGCCTCTTCATCAGCAGGAACTTCCTCCTCTCCACGAGCAGCACACGGACACATGTCAGCAGGAGGACAACAGGGACACAAGGCGTTCACGTGCACGACGCGCGGAGCCTACCTGCAGGATGAGCTGCAGCGTCTCTCCGAGGAAAGGTAAGCCCATGGAGCCAGGGGGCAGCGGACTGGGACAGCTCGGGTCCCGACCCCGGATCCAGTAGAACTCCCAGAGCCTCAGGGCCACCAGGAACAGCAGGACCGGCAGCACGGTGGTGCAGAGGAGGGAGGCCAGGAGCGCGCTCAGAGCCATGCTGGTCCAGGTGAGGGTCTGTGAGTCTGGAGCCCTCAGCTCCTCCAGCAGGGCTTTTATAGTCCTCCCGCCCCGGCTCTCTCTGACCCACTAGTTCATGGAGAGTTCATCTTTAATTGTTGCTGTGTGTCAGGCCCGCCTCTGCCTGGACTCATGTGTCCTCAGCCCGACACCCTGCTGCTGGACCACTGAGACAGGTCCTGTACAAACACCTGGGCTTCTGTGGAAGGGATATATCTTATAAACCAGTGTCCTCCAGTCTGCACCGTCACTACATGACACTTAACTAACTCACAACATGACACCTGACTAACTCACAACATGACATCTGACTAACTCACAACATGACACCTGACTAACTCACAACATGACACCTGACTAACTCACAACATGACACCTGACTAACTCACAACATGACACCTGACTAACTCACAACATGACACCTGACTA